TATTAATGTTTTCTGCTCTAATTGTGTAGAATGAGATCCTATTTTCAAAATGCTGCATCTTTCCATAGATTTTTTGAAATGCCACATGGAGCCCAGTGTGCTGGTGCATATTCATTATAGGTTTGAAGCCCTCTCTAGAATCTTCAGGAGGGGGTCAAACAAGTTTTTCCTCTGTGTTCACTGTGGCAGTCTGAAGTTATTTTGCACTGTATGCCCCTTACCTAATGGCCAACTTCCCTTAAATGCTTTCTTTCCTTAATGAACCACAGTACCAGAGGGAGCCCAATGCAAACACTGCTGTCCACATACTTCCTGTCCAACACACGTTTCCTTCTATTTGCCCATTGCCCGGTTTGGGAATGCCAGACTTGTAGGTTGCCCTACAGACAGCTAGTTGTGACCTGGCTGGGACTGGTTGCTATTGCTTTCAGAATGTCCCCATCTGTTTCCTGTCATTCCTGACCCCATTGAGTGCATCCTTCCCTATTTCCCAGCTCTTAGAAATGTCTTTTTCAACTTTGGAAGAGTTGCAGTCTTAAAACTGTAATCTTAAAATCAGCATCCCTCTACCATGTGCACCATTAAACTGTCAAATAGTGGTCAAGGAATGCAAGCTATTTCAATATGCTGTTTTCTCTTTCCTTACAGCAAATACCTTTTTATTTTAGTTTTTTTCCATAATTTTATTGAGAAACAAATAGCAATGAGACACTTTTATACGAAATTGGTAAGAGAGTTTCAATAATTAACACATTGCATACATTATTCCTACTGGTTATTTGCTGTACAAGATGCAGACATAATATCCTATTTACAAACACTATTAGAACAAATCCCTCCCTTCATTAAGAGAATGTAACTATATATCTATCCTAACCATTTTGAATACACGGATACAAAATGGACATTCATCTGTATCCTCTTTTTTGTTTAGTTCCATCATTTGAATATTATAGATGTTAACTAAGCAAAATATTCTAAGAGTGTAGCAGTTCATAATAGTATTGGGTCTTTTGCTTCACTGGCAATGTCAGAAATTGTTGACCTGAGTCCCCTACAGCTCAACATAACAGCATGGCTTTACTTCTTATACTTCATTTTTATACTTTTCTGCTGGATGGTTAAGACCAAGGTAAAGCAAGACCTATGCAACAAGAGTTGCAGCTTTTGGATCTGATAAGATCAATGAAATCCCCTCAGGATTTATTCTGAGATCCTGTACCTCAGATTGTAGATCCTTTGTCAGTGTCAGTCATGTGGAAGAGTCACGGCCATTGCTTGGCCAATGTGCTCTCTGTGAAAGCCTGAGAGAGTGTTTTCTCTCCATGTGACTCTCCTTAGGCACACTCTACATCATCAATCACTTTCCTCTTTGGCCCCATAATCTTGATCAGAAAATTTGGGACACTGCCGAGTTACATGATGTTACAGGACAAGTTCTCATATGCCCTGAGTCTTAATTGACCTTGGAAGGGCAAATACCTTTTAAATAAAGATCTATTTTTGAATCATTCACAACAGAGTCAGACCACAGTATGTCCCCAACTTTCAAGTGAGTTCCACTCTGGGAGAACATTCGCTGAGGCATATTCATTCTTAGGTCCAACAAAGTGAGCCTTACATATGCCTACACAAATATACATGTAAAGGATAAAAAAATAAAACCCCAGAACTTCACATTCCACCATCTTGTCCATGTTTAGAATTGTGTTGATTGAACAAATCATTGGAATGAGTGATGTCTACCATCTTTCCAATTTATTTTCTCGTTTCCATGGTTACTGACTTACACTTCCTAACAGTCCCCTGTACACAACCACTGCTTTCCCCCTTGCTTCTGACCATTCTGGGCTGACTGAGCATCATTAACTACTATGTACTATTGCACTGTAAGTAAGCACACTGCAGCACAGCCATGACAATGTCCAACAGACAGGTAAGCTACTTCCAGGATCTGTTTGCATTTATAAATGTCTGTAATGCAAGGTCCATTATTACCTGGAAAGTTCATAAATCTGAATGTAAGTCAGAGATTTGCTAAATTATTGAGTTCCTAAAGACTTAAAAAAAAGCAAAATTGGTGAGTGCGATTTAGAAATAGCTATATTGGCAATTCTTGGTGAAGATAACAAAATGACCTTAAGGGGACCTTGTGATTGCAAAAGTCAAAAGAAAGCAAAATATTATTGAATTTATTAACTTTGGTTTTGTACCCAAATCACAATGCGAAAGACTGGAAACGAGGCTTACCTGACCATTCCCACACTATATATTTATTATCATCCTGCCATGAAAATGTCAAAATCACACATACCAATGTCTAAAACAATAGTTGAGCAAGTTCAAATGCTGAGAATCTGGAACCTGAAAATAACAAATTCCCCCACAGGACGGGGGATATAACTCAGTGGTAGAAGTGAGGGGAATAAGAAAATTATTTCACGCACTACTCTTCAACATTATCTTTGATGTTCCTTCTGTACGCCATTTAACTATAGGAGGTGGTGGTGGGATAACTAATCACTAAGCTTATTTCTCTATGAAGATAGCTAATAAATGGCTAGGTTCCTGATAGGCGGAACATACATAGAGTTGAGCTATGTATTTCATGCATTCTGCTTAGAGCCTAATTTTATGATTTGAAAAGCTTAAAAGTCTGTGAGATTTATTGGTGAAATTTTAACACTAGTCAAGTGTTTAAAAAGGAGTAATTCTTTTAAGGCGTGATGAGTACAATATGCTTAAGAGCTTATTTACAAATGAATTTTTATGTGTGGGATTTATTTCAAAATAATCCAGAAAGCAGTGGAGTGATAAAACAGGTAAATACTGCTAAGAATTCTTAGGTACATGAGTATACCAATTTTTGTACTTTCATGTTTAGAACTTTATGTTAAGATAAGTAGAAATGATTTAAATGTATTTAATCACAGAAACAGTTACTAGCATAATGTATCAATGGGGACTTCTGTGTACCAGTGGGGAAGGTTTCTGCTGTTCCTAGAAGAGATGAGTGTCAGGGCCTTTGCCTTTCAACAATTAACAAAAGACAAAAAGATTTTGTAAAAAATTATTCATTTGTAATATTAAGTGGAATGAAATATGGACATATTCCAACTGCCATATAGAACTTACACTTTGATCAAGTTCTCAAGTTCAGAGTAAGGTACACTTTATAAAGGCTTACATCGCTACATGTTCTAATACAGCAAAATGTGATGGTTAGGTTTGTGAATCCAAAAATAAATCTGGGACTAGAATTAGTTTGATAATGTAAGTTACTTCTAACTACACAGAAAAGATACAAAATGTAGTGTTTGCTTTTAGTTTATTAATTTATTTTGCAGTAATCTTTGACTTTCTGAATATGTATTGTTTGGAGGTACGATGCATGCATAGCCTTTCAAAATGCCTTTGTACAATTTCATCTCAAAATAATTTCATTCACAGCATACACAGAAATCTAAGACACATGATATTTACATGATTTAATAAGTTCTTACTGCTTTAATGAAGAAACTGATCAATTCTTTTACAGTAGGGAGAGAAACATAGACATTGGTTGTCATTATAAATAAAAATTCAGAATTGTTCAGTCTCAAAGCAACTTTTCATGGCTTTAGAAATTAAAACTGAGTTGTCATTCTATTAATCTCTGAATGCCCAAGCCATGCAAAATCTACTTGTATTAAATATTTGGGGATGCAAATAATACAGAAAAAATTGTCTGGTGAATGTGAAAACATCATCAGAATTAACTTTCACAATAGGAAAATACTGTTAATTCTTTCAAAAAGATACAGTAGTGGTGCAACACAGACAGTGCCCAATTTATTCTCATTTTTAAAGTAACATTTCAATTGTTTTCCTTTCTCTAGATATACAGACACACACTGTAACATAGACTTATTCAAGGTTGAACAATGATACAATATTAAAATAATTCAATTTTTAACAATAAAGGGACATTTTCACATTCCAGGATACATCATGGCTATTTTAAAGGACAATTCTTCTATGCTTTATATTTTTGCTTTTTGTTTATAGTGTCAGAAAGACATAACAATTACCTTTTAAAAGACTATATAAAATTGAGTTGCCACACAAAGGATATGAACCCTAAATAATTGTGACAAAGCAATGACAAAATTTAAGGAAACATTGATTTCTTTTAGAATTCAAAAGTACTAAAATTGAGACCAGCTCCTTAAAAATTAAACTGCTTATCACACTTCCCGTTTCTTCCAGGGAAATAAACAAGTTAGCAACATTTTCCCCACCATCATTAATCTGTTCTAAAACTACATTTTTACAATGCATTTGTTTCTTTAATCCCTGCCTCTACTCTCTCCCAAACTAGATCAATATTAATTCAATACATTTTACAATGCTTAAAAAACTTCTGGCTCCTCTGTTACTTTAAACTTTTTAAGAACTCCAAAATTTAAGGGGCAAAATACTTACACAAAATGGCAAACATGCTTTCTAAAAACCCAGTCTACAATAAACAGTGAAATAATGTAATGTAAAACGTATAGTCAGGTCTGTATGTTACCAGGTACATCAAACCAGATATATTTTAAGAAAAACAAGCCTCTTACAACAACCATGGAGCGCACCAGCTAGCTGAAGACATGGGCAACCCAGCAGCCGGGCATCACCCCATTGTACCCTCATACATATGCCAACTGTTTACATACACCCAACAAACCAGGCGATCCTTTCAGAAAGGCACCTTGAAAGCTGGGTGAATTCTTACTAAAACTGGTCAGAGGCAAGAAGCGTTCTACATGGGACACAGTTAAATGTATCAAATTTATCAATGCCAAATTGTTTTTTGCTCACTTTTCAAAACTGAATGTAGCCTACGTTGGAATATGAAATTTGTGCACGATTGAAAAGCCTCCTTACAGTCTGTCTCTGATGTTTCATGCTTCACCCTCCACACCCAGCAGCCTGCTCATTCTTCCTGGCAGGTGAAAGCAAGGATTGATGGGATATCATCAAAGGACTGACACCATGCATCTACTGTATGATAACAGCTTATTAACCTTGGTGTATTTTCATGCAAGTTTTTAAATCGTCTACATGGTTTTAATGAAGTACTGTATCACACTGTTTTCAGACATGCTACTTTCATTTTCAACTGACAACTGCCAAGTTTACTGCCACCACTTCAGCGTAGCACTATGAATACTGGTAAACCTTTTTTAGCTAGAACACCAAGCAGTATATATATGTATGTATATATTTTCCCCTAAACTGTTTCTTAACACCAAGTGGTGCTGACCATCACTAACAAGACATGAAACCACACAAAGGCAAAGGCATCTTACAGAACAGTAGGACTAATGGACTGTGTTATTAGAGACTGACAGAAACCAGTGTTATAAAATCCTTTCAAGATCACTGTTCGTGCTTTTAAGCCTATCTATTGTTCTTACCATTATTTTCACAGTTTTGCCAGTTATTGTATTAAAAGATGTTTTATCAGTGTAATTAACATAACCATGCTTACCTTGGGAAACAAGTGAATATATTTTGGGGAGTTATTCCACATATGAAAAAAATGTTTTCAAAGCTGTAGGCAGTGTGTGAAGTTATGATTTTGATGGAAAACTATGATGAGATATACCTTTGGTTTCATTATGTTATTAAGTGCAGCTTGTTCTTCCAGGTCTGTCAGATTTTACCACTAAGTCAAAATGCAATGACAACACAGGAACGTGTGTGTATGAGGGGGGCACCTGGTATTTCTAAGGTTATAACCTCAGGTTAAACCCTTCAGCATGGGAAAACCTACTACCTTTATTACTGTTCCAACTTCACCAAGGTGGGGGGTGTGTGTGTGTCCAAAATCCAATTCTGAACTACGCTTATCTGAATGTTACTAATTTTTCAGTGATATACCCTAGTGAGTCACACTAACTTGTTTCATAGTGCTTTACTATTACCTGAATTGTCTGCACAAAGATGATTTCTGTTCTGTGAACAGTTATATTAACTTTAAAATGTTTCAAACCTCTCTTTACTCCTCTGGTGTATGGGGAGGGGGCTCAAGAGCAAACCTAGCTTTGTGCGTGCAAGGCAAGCACTCCACTGCTGAGGGACAGCTCCAGCCCAGTAACCCTGACCAGCCTTCTCTTGCTCCCCAAATAATGCAGTGCACAACCTTGTGATAATGGCTAACTACTTCTTCCCTCATGTTCTTATAAACATGTGCAAATAAATCGTTTATTGAATAGCTAATATTTTTTCAGCTAAATTAGGATTATGGCACAAAGTACTTATCTGTGCTGTAAACACCATGAATTCATCACAAAATTAAGGAGGCGGGGAAGGTCTGATAGACTACAAATATTTCTTAAGAACCACAGCTGAGCTAAAGATTTCCACATGAATTCTGGAATGGACTCGCATTTGGCATACACTCACTGTGCTATTGGCAAAGCGCAGTTTTAAGAGAATGTCATTTATAAAACCATATTTTGTAAGGGGTACTTTTCAAACCAAAGGTCTAATAAAGCATAGAGTAACTTAAGGATGTATTTCTTATGTGGCACAATTAGGTCTCAGTTACCAGTGTCGATACAGGTTGATGAATCTCTGTACAAACCAAAGGGATCTTACTGCCTTTGATTGTATCTTCCAACAAAGGGCAGGATCTGCCTCATTCCTGACTGCTACAAATCACATTTTAAAATATCTGTGTGTATGTGTGTTTGAAACTACCCCTGAAAAAAAGCAGCAATTACAAATACCCTTATTATTTTGCCACGAAAACGTGTTTAGGGTGCTTTTTCCCATCCTTCTCTTCTGAGGAAGCAGCAGGAAGAAGCCCAGGGAGCCTTGGTTTCCCAGAGAGATGCAATCAGATAAGTCTGCTCTGGAATTCACAGTTTGCCTGCATAAACGGTAACATTTCATACCACGATTCAAAGTTCAACTTTGAAAAATAAGGGCCACTCAGCAGTAACTTTAACGACTGGGATTCCACAGAAGAGCTCTTGACTTCTCTGTGTACATTCTTTCAGGAGCGAGGCCTTTCCTGATTTCAAGTATCCCTTTCTACCTCTCACTGCAACGAGTTAAAGGAAAAAAGAAAGGCCTCCCCATTTTTTCCTTTTGTGAGCACAGTGGCCACAGTGCCATTCCTCCTCCTCCCCCCATGGAATCAGAAATGAAAAGGCTGGGCAGATGAAGAGATTCCCGAGGCTTCCTTTTCTTCTGGCGGGTGCTCCAAGTTTCACTTTCAACCTGGTGCCAGCTCTTCTGAATTCAAGTGTACCGCGGCATCTCACACTGTTCACAGCGATTTAGCGCTGGGTGGTTGAGAAAGGTGCAGCTGTCACAATTCCACGGTGCCCCTTCGAAGTCTTCGTCACGGGCCTGGGTCCGAGGACTCGGTTTGGAGGCAGATAGATGCTCTGAGGGGAGTGAGAATAAAGGAAAGAAGAGGAGAAAGGGGATTAAAAACTTTACAAGTATAATTTAAGGGGCCAGGGAGATGGCTCAGTGGAATATGTGCTTCCCTGGCAAGCACAAGGGCCTGAGTTCAATCCCTGGTTCTGCAAAAAAAAAAAAAAAAAAAGTATAATTTAAACCAAAAAAACTACCCAAAAAGGCAAGTGGGGAAATGTCCTGCCCTATCTAAGGCCAATTTGTAAACATACCTGCTGGAAAAGCATAACTGAATAAAAGGTTTTCAATAGTTTTTTTTTCTATACGATGACAAGAAGTCCAGAATAGACTGTTTTCCTAGCTCATTCCCAATAGATGGTGAACAGTTGTTTTATTCCAGCCAAATGAAAGCCAGTCTTGCAGCATGTCAATTCTATCTCAAGTTTTTCCCTGCAATTTCAGTCTACCTTCATGATTTACGATCCTATTCATACCATAGTAAATAACTCATAAACTCTGTACCATTTTCCTTGAGGCCTTCAACTCGAACAATATGCATGTTTTATACTAAGTCTTCTACAGAATGGTGAAAAGAGGATGACACTCTATACAGTTTTCAAAAGGCTGAAGTTCATTCAATTACAAAACACTGTCTTTTATTCTGATTCCTTTCTACCTTACAGGCATAACAGGTTCTTCATTAGTTCTGAAAATGTTTATAGCTGGCTATTAACCTTATGTTGATTTCCAGGATTAATATACAGACAGACACTAAAACCTGTATTCCTTTTTTAAGTCCTCATTCTCTCTGACCTTATGTACAAAAATGCTCTTCTCTTAGCATTAATTTGTAAATCTTCCTTTTTAGAAACGGTCCCAGTTGACAGTGGGGTTTAAGGACCTACAGATGGAATTCACCCAGAACCTGGCAGAGGCAGGAGGCCGAAGGCATCCACATAGAGAACACTGGAAACATTCACTAGGCACTGGAAATAAGATGAACATGTAAGGTAAGCAACCTTTCCAAGCAGATAAAAGAGACAGATGCAGAGAAGCTTTGTCAGATGCTGCTTGGGCCAAGCATACCTTCCACTGAAAATTAACTCACTTCTGGCTTGTCAATTTGTTTTTCGTGACAAGTGGTTCGTATAAACATTCCTGAACAGGTAAAGAGAACTGAGTTTTAGACCTTGAACTTTACCTCCTGATAAGCAGAAAGGCGATCTTAGTTGTACACCCTACAGGAAATTATTGGGGTCTTCAGCATATTCCTGTGACTATAAACAGGAGGTGGGCTTGTTTTGACTGCTGCTTTCAGCATCTAGGCAAAAGACCCATCTATGTCTTTTGACTTATGACTGCACAACATGTAGATTTAGTACAGTGCTCTTTTCTGTCTTGTATGGAAGAAGAAAAAGCACATTGTTGAAGTCTTGTGTTATGGGAAAAATGTTTACTATGCCATTTCCAGGAAAGGTCCTCTCTCATATAGCAGCCTTTGTCTTTTAAAAGAAAAATATGCCCGAAAACCTAACAGTTTTTAAAAATTACATATTGTTACTCTTGGTTTTGAATAAACAGGGGCTCAGAAGTCAGTTTTATCCTTTTCTAAGATAGGATAGTTTTGAAAAATGGCCACAGCTGTCCAGCAACTTTATATTGGTTTCCAGAATTTAAAAGATACATGAAAACTTTTTATTTCATGAAGTAATATTTACTATGGAGGAAGAAAAGATATTAAACTCTTAGCCATTACAGTCTTTTTATATGTTAATTCCAAACGTAGCCTTCAACTCTGGATTATGGCAACACATATGCTTACAATGAAAATGTTCTCTAAAGTACTTTTTTTTCTAAACATAACTAATTCAGGATATCTTGGGACTCCTACCTGTTTAATAGTATAGCAATTTAATTTGGAATAATAAGTCCTTCTGATGTAATTTACCAAAACATTTTTTTAAAAAAGACATCTAAGATTAGAATTATTTTGGTGCTAAAAAAGACACTCCTCATTTCATCATAGAGAAGCATTATTTTAAGGCTTGTGTTCACATCTGATTAATAGGTATGTAACCTTTTTTATGGCACATTTAAAACATTAAACGTTTCACATTGTTTTTAAATGGCTTTTAATAGTCTAAGTTTTCCATGAAAATGCCTTATTAATGTCACAAATAAACAACTTAGTTTAATCAATGTTGTCCACAGAGTGCAGAGGACAATTTGCCCACAAGTATGTGACTCAGTATTTTAAAAAATTTAAATTTTTCTACAGTATTTTCAAGATGAATGAAAAATACCATTCCCTACCCCAAACGGTAAATATGATAAAAGAGGAAGGGTTTGGACTTTTTTTAACTATGTAAATTATGTCCTGTTCATACATTTGTTCTTAGGATGGGATCTTTTAGAATAGATAAGGAAAATATAGTTTTTATATACAATGAAGTACTACTCTGCAATAAAGCAGGATAAAATTGGGACATTTGTAAATAAATGGATTTACTTTGAAACCATAACATTAAGTGAAATAAATCAGATACATAAGCTTAAATATTGTTTTCTCTTGTATGAGAAACTCAAATTAATGAAGAACAAAATAAATAATAAGCAGGGAGCCCTGTTTCAAATTGGAAAGGGAATGGGAGATAGAGGAAGGGAAAGGGAATGGAAAAAAAGAATAGAAGGATAAAAGTGGAAAAAGCACTCTAACAAATGGGAAGGCATCCAAGAGTTGGAAGGAGCCTAGGACAAAAAAGAATTGAGATGTATTACGAGTATGTACCAACTCCCCACGGTGAATGTGATCGTGATGTACTACAAACATGTACTAATGAAAATTTTAAAAATAAGAATCAGTGGAATACTTGCACAAACTCAAACATACTTTTTTGTTGTTGTTGTTTTAAGACAGGGTCTTGCTATGCAGCTCAGACTGGCCGTGAGCTCACTTTGCAGCCCAGGCTGAGTCCTCCTGCCTCAGCCTCCCGCCTCAGCCTCCCAAGTGCTGGGGTGACAGGTATGTGCCACCATGCCCAGCTAAACATATATTGTTAGGAACTACACTGAAACTGAATGTCTGGATAAAGTTGAAGAAATAGTATAGCAGTGAAGAAACAGTGAGAAGTTTATACAATTCCAAGCTTCTAGGTCATTTTAAAATATTTATTTGATTTATTTGGTCTTATTTTTAATGTACTGTTTCCTTAGAGATGATTTATCAATTTTAGTAGCTACTGATTTATTTGAAATAAATGTGGTTAGTTCAAATCAAGATATACTATATATGTATAAATTTTGTACTGTAACAAATTCTGTAAATTTAGTATAGAATGAGGATTATTAAATATTCACTATATAGTACAATTAATTTCACCTTTCTTTTTGGTATGATTACAGAATATTGCGAATCATATATGTGGCTTACATTACATTTCCATTAGATTAGATAAGAAAAGAATAATTTTTGAAAATAAAAAATATCAAGGTCTGATAACTACATAGGTGAACATATACTTTTGGACATTCTGCATGATCTCTGGACACACAAGTACAAACCATCTGCAGCTGCTGCCTGGGTGTCATGGACATCTGCCTGTACTTTGGAGGTCACGCTAATTCTTCGGGCTTTTCTCTCAATTGTGCAGGGGTCTGAGGAGTCTGCATAAGAAGAAGCAAAGCCAGTAAGAAGGGATCAAGTCATTCTTCAGCAAGCTGGAACAGGTTCACAAGGACAGCTCTCGTAAGCTACACAGCTGAGCGCACTTTTCTTACTACTTTGTGCTATTTTAGGTCTGCTGGGAGGCAAGCGCTGCATTTGATGCTGCGTTTACAATCTATGCAGAGTGGGGGCTTTTCAACTTTTTCCATCCTCTTCAATTACTTGGAGCAAATGCCCTGCTTTCCCCCGGGTTCCCACTTTTCCGTGGAACAAGGGTACAAATTCAGTGACAACAATGAATGTCAACGTGAAAGCAAAATTTGGCAGATTACACTTCAGAGATTGTTTAATTAAGCAACAGCTAAAAGATAATTGTGGGGTTAAAAAAAGGATAACTACTACAAATAACAGTGATAAAATACAACCACAAATTTTAAGCAAAAGTAACAGTACTTGAAAAGTCAGGACCAATTCAAAGTAATACTATTCTGGACCCACAAGTGCTCCCAAATCCTTTCATAAATTCCAACTACTTATGTGTGCTGAAGCCTGGCAGACACTGCAACATGGACAAGAACAGTAGGTGTCTCCACATCACGCTAAAATACCGCTTCTATGAATTGATAGGTTGCTACCAAGCAGCATGTTATATTAAGCGAACAATGGCAGACCCCATGTTACTTGCCCTAAAGAGGCAAACAAGATCATTCTTTTGAAAGATCTCACATTGCTGACCAGTTCTAAACTCAGATGAAATTCCATGGTACAACCCACTTTGAGAAATCACTGCTCCACAACTAGAAGCATGGCAGCTTAGGCACTCGAACACCCCATTATCAGAGGAAACAGGAGCAAAGTAAAGACCTTCTTATGCTCCAAAGAGGAAGGTAAAGTTCTTCTGTGTCATCACATAGCTTCATCTCACTGACTCTTAATAAAAACCTCATAAATCCACAGATACAAATATTTGAACCTATCACCTCTGCCTCAGTGGTGCATAGATTAGATCTGAATAAGGTCAGGTGACCAAGAAGACCAGGAGCAGCCTCAGGCCGTAGAACACCACAGTCATTGCCCTTGTCACTATGTGAGTTTCCAAAGAGGGAACAGGGAGATTTGCCAAGTTACCTGAGGAGCTGCATGCAAGTGTGCAGCAAGTGTGCACGCATGCACACACACACACACACACACACACAAATATTGCCTAAATGCAAAGTCTAATCCACAGTTTTGTTTTTCTGCCATTCTATAATTATTACACTTATTCACACAGACCTAGATGTTTAGATTTCTAGTATATATCTGTGCCACAAGACATTCAAACCAATAAAGCAGTTCTACCAGTTATTAGCATTTAACGGGTTCTAATGTTAGGATACTTTTAGAAAAGTCCAAGTTTTAAAAACAATATGAGGAGATTCAAGTACTTCACAAAATAAAATTGACTTCATAAACTGAGTATCTTTTTATAAATATGTGATATTCTCCAAATTATAAAATTTAATCAGGTTACATTGTTTAAAATTTTTACAAAAAAAGGTGGAGGTTTAAAAATCTATTAACAGTACCATTTTATATTTTAACCAATATCATGAAATTAAAGTGCAACTAAATTTTGAAAACAAAAATTCATTATTTAAATAGAATTTATGCTTTACATGGCTTTCTAGTTTACCTTTTATTAAAATTGCACACACAGAGAACACAGTGTTTGGGATAAGGTGTTATGTTTTTGCTTCTTAGGATCAAGAATCTATCTAACTCATCTAGATATTCAACACTCAATATGTATTTCAAGAAACTGGTAGTAGCTGGATCCATTACAACTAACTCTGAGACCATACAATAATGGGCTTTAGCACATTGTATTTGAATTAAATGAGCCATGGAAAAGAGACTTTTTATTATAAAAGTATTTGTAGAGTGGTAAAGCTTGATGTTACTGAGGCTACATCATAGAATATTAATACAAGCCTTGCATAATTCTAGCCAAGCAGGAGAGCAAGCAAACAGGACCCTCCTACTGATCCCAGTGACAGCAGAATGGCATATCAGCAACACTGCTGCTAGAAAACCACAACTATTTGGGCTCCTCTATTACTTCAAGAAATGTTCCTTTTGAATGCCTTTTCATTATATGCACATTCCTCTGTAAAAGCACCTGCTCAAGTGTTTCTATATATAGATATACATCTCAGAATACCAGTGGCTTATCAGATACCTATCTTGTGGATATTTTCTCCTAGTCTGTGGCTTGGCTTTTCATTTTCTTAATAGTCTCTTGATCAGCAGATAAGTTGAATTTATTGCTTTCCCCGTCCCGTCTAAAAACTTAATATACATCCAAGGTGCAAAGCTATTCTGTGTTTTTCTAGAAGCTTTATGATTTTTTACTTTGGTATATAACCTGAAAGTTTTATATATTTGTGAGGCAAATAAAAATTTGGGTTTTTTTCTCCCTCATGGATATCCAATTCTTCCTCCCTTGAAGATTTTCCTTTCTTTATTGGTTGTTTGCATACATGGGTATCTACATCTGGACTCTACTTTGTTCCAACGATCTATTTCTTTATTGCTCTGCCAGAGTCACACTGTGATTATACTTGTTATTATATTTACATATAACTCTTGAAAGAACAGGTATCTAGTTGTGATAATTTGTATTCTCATGTTTGCTTTTAGTTTTTACCTTAGATCAGTAATTTTACATCTTCCTGTCTTATAAGAACATTTAAAGCTTTTATAGATTATCACCAAATCCTAAATTTAACTATTATAAATAACTTGGCTTTGCCTACAGTGGTCTGACATAGTCCTCAACTCCTTTCTACAACTTTAAAAATAATACCAGTGTTTTTGTATGAGCACCTTCAGCCACATTCAGAGTTTATGCTAACGAGGTGCCACCCAAGGACATGCTGTCCACCATTTCTCATCATGTTATTCTCTGTTCCTAGGGTAGCAACTGTTAATACACTCTTTTAAGCAGAACAATTCTTCCATGACAGCCCTTGAATCATTTAAATGAAGTTCACCTGATGGGAGTTCTAGTAGGTGACACTTCTTTAGCAGACACTGAGGCAAAACCAAGCTTAAAGCTTCATACTTTATAAACCCAAAGTATAAAGAGATATTTATTTCTGTGCAACCCAGTGACTTTTAAGTGAAGCTACACCTAGTGTTTGCACAGTGCCAAATTTGGCACATCCACTGAGATGGTTCTTTGTAGCATTTTACAAATCACTGGCTATTTCAAATGTGGACCTGATGAAATATCCACAATAGTATTAAATAAATAAAACTGATCCTATGTTACAACTCAAAATGAAATATAAAAACACTCTACTGTGTGCCTATGGAGAGTCACCTTGAGAGAAAACATTTTCTCAGGCTTTCACAGAGAGCATATTGGCCAAGCAATGGCCATGACTCATCCACATGGCTGACACTGACAGAGGATCTACAAAGTGCTGTACAGGGTTTCTTCGGGGTAAATCTTGAGGGGATTTGACTGACCTTCTCAGATGTAAAAGTTGCATTTATTTATTTTTGTGGTACCAGGGATTGAACTCAGGACCCTGTGCTTGCCAAGCAAGCAGTTATTCTAATGAGGTATCTCCCAGGCCCTACATTTTTTGTTATATAGGTCTTGCTTTATCTTGGTCTTAACTATCTAGCAGAAAAGTATAAAAATGAGGTATTAAAAAGTAAAGCCATATTAATATGCTGAGCTGTAAAAGGCTCAAGTCAACAATTTCTGACATTGCTAGTTCTGCTGATAAACCACTATTATGGATTACTGGACTATATTGGATTATTTTGCTGAATTCATGCACCTACAATATTTAAATGCAATGGAATACCCATATCTGACAAAAGAAAAAAAGGGGATATAAGTGAAGGACCATTTTGTATTGAAAAAAAATATATCTGTATATACAAAATAGGATAGATACACAGCTACTTTCTCTTAGTTCAATGAGAAAATTTGTAATAGTGTTTAGACAAGATATCATGTCTGCATCTTATACTATGAATAACTACTATGAAGATAATATGCAATGTATTAATTATTGTAACTGACCTAACCTCTTTTGAAAATGTCTCACTGCTATTTTTTCTCAAAATTAATTAACGAAGAATTCCTGTTTTTTTTTTAAATAATACTGTACTAAATATACATGGAAAACTGTTTAACCAAAATTTATATAAGTGGGTTGGGTTATGTAGTTAGAATTTATACATTCTCTACTTAAAAATAAGTCTGAGGAGATTTTAAGAAATGCGTTCTCCTACCAATTTGGTTTGAAACTGTCTCATCGCTATTTGTTTATCAATAAAATTATGGAGAAAAAAAGGAATGCATTCTCCACTGTACAGTAGGTGTTCATTATTAAATTATCTTGAATGGGTTAAAGTGTTTAAAGGAATGAAATATGAAATGGAAACTTTATTTGAGTCTTGAGAATTATAAAACATGTGCTATCAATAAGAGGCAGGAAATGTTAACCTATATTCAGTGACTCAGTATTTCAGTTTAATTGAAATTAATTAATGTCAATTAAAGTTTGGTTTATAAAAACAGGGAAAACAGACTTGATGTCTTTAAATCATTTCTATGTAATTAGCATCTGAATTCTTCCAAGCCTATTATGAGAGATTTATTTTTGTCCTTTATGAGAAAACACCCAAGTCCCTATCTAATTACTAGGTTCATCTTTAGAGTACACACAGACTCTTGTTACCTGAAAAATAATCTATCACATATCTAATTTTCAATTCTAATATCAGACCTTTAAGATTCTCAGTTCTATAAGGAACAATTTTAATAGTGCTGAGTAAACTACATAACACATTGTTTTGCTAAAAGTTAAAGTTTGGAGACATTTCCTTATCACTTCCATGACATTCACTTAGCCAACATAAGCAAAGTTACCATATTAATTAACATCTAACCTGGACATTTTTATAATTATGTGAGATCCCAGAGAATACTGTTATTTAATTCTATGTTTGTGGCACGTCCCTACTCACCTTTTTTAGAAGGTTTCGGTGGTACAATTGGGCCAGGTTCTATGTTGTCATAAAAATTATTCATGGCTTTTGGATCAAAGTTGCCTATAAAAAAATGATGAAGCATTTAGCACTCCTCAAAAAGAAAATACATAAAGAAAACTTGTAAGGAAAATGTCTCCCAGGGTTTCAAACATATTATCCTAATCCTCCTCCAAATGAAACTGTTTATCAGAATGCGAAAAAAAAATCCCCAGAAAACTACACCAGTGTTTATCTACAATGGGAATATTTTTCATTGTAGACTAGTTCCCTTAGGCAGGATTAAGCATGTGGGCCATTTGAGGAGGTAAATCAAGAGAAATAAAAGAATAGCTGACCTGCTTGTTTTGTTTAATTTAATGAACAAACTATAAGAAAGAAGACAAAGAATAAAAGCTTCCTTTGTCTTTCTTAATTTACCTTAAACTTTAATCCATTATAAACTCATCTATGGAAGAAGCCCAATGTACAAAGATTAATCAAGTTATGTCTTGAGATACCTAAGCAACCTGAATAAATGTGAAGTATCAGCACTTCATAAATTCCTGTTTTGAAGAAAAAGGAGAATCTTAAATTCTATGTTAAACTGTATCTGCCGATTTGCCAAGGATAAAAGATACGTTTCTAATTCTAGCATAGAATAGTCCCTGAGAATGTTTTGCCACAAAATTATTACCTCTTAAAATGTCTACTCCCTGGGTTAGTATTTGTATTGCAGCCATATCTTCTACTGTATTGCTGCCCAGGTCTGTTGTTATCTAGTGCCAGTTTTGTGTCCTACCTCCCCTTCTGTGAAATCATCTCTATATTCTGCTTGCTCTACACACTTCTAGTTAAGCTTTCTACCCGTGCCCGTGCTTCTTGAGAGAATGCTGCACAGTACCAACAGTAACTGTATTGGATCTTTTCATTTCTATACTTCTTCCCAATAACTATTTTCCCTACCAAAACTAACAATTAAGTTGCTTGTTATCTAAGTCTAAATGCTGTCCTCCCCCCAAAATATAAAGTTCAGATTTGGTTTCTACCTTAAAAGTTTATGCTAAAAACTCGGCATAGAAAGATTTCTGGAGTATGGATATGTATAATTTAATATAAAATAGTAGATAAAATGCTTCACTGTCAAAAAACGTTCATTGTAAGGTCATTGCCCAGAACAGACTCAACACAGCTTTTTGCAACTACAAATGTTTTACTAAGGGAATTTCTGAAAACAAGTCCTATGATAACTCAAAAAATTAATAATGCCACTTAATATATTTTTACATTGTAAGATGCTGCATATCTATTTCTTCGATTACTTAAGTTATAGCTGATGTTCTAATTTCCAGATCACTTAAGGCTTACTAGAAATATCACAACCAAATGTTTGATTAGGGTCTCTTGTTTTGCTGCAAAGACCACACAAGTAAAAAAAATAAACTGATGCAGTCTTCTGTAATATCGTAGCAATAGCTTATATAACCCCCACATTATGTGTAGTAATTCTTTCACTGCTTAAAGCTAATAGGGTATACAGTTATTAAGCTTCTGAAAATAATTTTTAAGGGTACCTGCCTCGATAGTGCAACAAGCACATTCCAATTTTTCTTTATTATTCAGACAGTTCCATATCTCTGGGTTCATCTCATCTACTATTTAATCATGCCTAAATATAGCAATGAGATGCTATATTATTGAGGTTTTGTGATATATATATATACTCTTAAAATACTGTAGGCACTCTCTTAGCTATCATAATTAAGAATGGCAAGGGGAGCTGATTAAAATGCAAAATTAAGGACCATTACACATTCCAACGTTAATGTAAGCAAACAGTAAGAGACCTTTTCTTTGAGAGCAATTCCATACTGTCTTACATAAAACATTCTCATGGTGACCTAAACCAGGGGTCAGCAAGCTCTCTCTGTCACGGGCCAGATAATAAATATTTTAGACTTTGTGGACCTGTAATACAATCTCTTTTGTAAGCATGCAACTGTCCCCTTGAAGCACAAAAGCAGCTACAGACAAGTAAATGAATGGACCTGGCTTTTGTTTCATTAAAACTTTTATTTATAAAAACAGGCCACAGGACCTGGTTTACTCTTATTAATAAGAGCCACAATATGTAGGAGTGCTAGGAGAATAACAACAACAAAATCACTTGCAAATATCTATTAGGAACTGCTTTTCTTGCCTAGTAATTTTATTTTTATTTCCTTAGAATGAAGAAAGGATACTGAGCACAGAATCCTTTTAGATTTTTATGATGCCAACTTTTTTCAGTTGTTTTCACCCCTAATTCATAGTCCCTCTCAGTGCTTTGCCTTTGAATCTTAAAAAGCCTCTATTTTTTTACATGAAGAGAAGCTTTCTCCTGAATTCATATCAAGTTATGAAATGCTACTGGGAAAAATAAAGTAACTGATATAAAAAGTGCTATGGACACCCCTCACGCATGGGAAGCAGAGAACTCAACCAATGGGAAGTACAAAACCAGTGGGAACAGAGGGCATTCTAGACTGCTGCTTACTGACTGGTCAAGAATGTGCAATAGCTCTGAACATCAGTCTTTTGTCCAGAGGAAATGAAGGCCATCTTTAATTTGGTGAACTAGGTAAATGAAAGATAAGAGAGCTGCTACTGTAGTATACTCCTATAAGGAACCCAAAAGCCTAACACTAAGACGCTCAGTCTTCTGAGTTGGCATCCTTATTGTTTTTTTACAGATATTTTAGTTGAGTATCACATAATATAATGGATAAAGGATAAATTCAAAATAACATAAGTCACTCTAAGTGATAGGAACTTAATGATTAAACTGCCAGAGGGAAACTATGGTTTGATCCCCCAAATCTGATCCATGACCATGGGATAGAGGAAATCTTTTCACCAGGATTGTAATCTTATACCAGACAAAAACTATTTCTTAAATCTATAAAACCACCATTATTGCTATTTAAGCAGCTTAAAACATCACACTATTACTTAGGTTTTATCAAATAATCAATTCTATACCTCTAGATTGAAGGAGATCAACTTCTTTCAGTGTACAGTCAACATTTATCTGGAGTTGTCTGTTCATGCTTCTCAATCTTGTCATTTCCTCAGGCTAGTAAGAAAGGACCCAAAATAGCAATTGTGGGAAAGTCATTATCAAGCCCAACATTTAAGAACTATGTATTATGTTAATCGTTCTGATTGGGTATTACCAAGAATAAGGCCTCAGTTTCTAAGAGGGAATGTTTAAGAAGTCCTATATTTATGTTTTTTAGAGGAACAGTCATGTACAATGAGTAGGTAGACCAAAATGGCCGCATATAAAAAAGAGCTGTGTATAGGGGAAGGCCACAATACTGGACTAAATTCTATCGTATGAGATACTACCATTGTAATCACAGAGCACAGAAGCTATGCTTCCACTGTAAGGGAAACTTTCAGAATCAACCCTTTCAGCAACGTCCATGAGCTTAATCTTGCCTAGCCTGGTAACCATTACAGCAGTATTCATTTTAATTAGTACTTAGCGCCAGGCTCTGAGTTCACCAGGATTGTCTTAATCCTCTATCAACAATTCTTTCAAGGAAGTAATAAAGGTTAATTTCCTCAAAGTTATAAAGCTAGTAACTAGCTGAGCTCGGAATTCACTGCAAGGCCCTTTTCATATTTTTTGATTCGAGTGATTAATTTAGTAAATGAAAATATCAGGAACAAAGGAACTTCCTTGTCCTGCCTCAGCCTTTCCAGCAGCATGTATGAACTGCTGACATGTGTAGAGTCTCACTCTGGCTTTCTTTCAGGAACCATGTACTTCTCATGCTATTCTTAACTTCCTTACTATCTACATATATAGGCAGTGCAAAATAAAAATGTCTGGAGGCCCAAGAATGGAAGCTTTCTGCACAGCCCAGGTATGACTTAATAGGGTGATTTCAACGATATAAGGAAATTCTAGCTGCTACTGTAGGAAGACAAATGTCCTATTCTGTTTAAAACATGTATTTTGCTAGAAGCTAAATGTGTAAACAATAAAGAAAAGTGAGCAAGATGGACATCTTAATTTATAACAATGCTGTCAGGAGGTATTATCAGAGTAAGTAGGGATTATCCATTAACAGGGATCAAAAGTTCTAAATATGTGATACAAAAGGGTTATTAATAAGAGCCACAGTCCCTTGGACTGCTAGAGGAAAAAAACCCAAGAAATCACTTAGAAATATATATTAGCAAAAAAAAAAAAAGAAATATATATTAGCAATTGCTTTTCTTTCCTCATTCTCATGGGCAAATTCTGTGACATTAATATATGAAATACTTAGATCTTTCCTGTCAGGCAATATTAAAATAGTTTAATACATGCACTTGACTAGTTATATTAAAACATTTAGTTAAGGTACCCAAAAAGTGATGATGTCATCCTAAGAACACATAAAATAATCCAATCTTTGTAGCAAAGTCAAGGACCTGAGGGGGTTGATCATTTCTATATATTTTAGGGCTTGGGAAGAGAGCTGTTTTAGCCATGGTGGCCCTGAATAGCAAAGCTTTGTAACTTAAATATGAAAATTCATATCATACTTTATAGTCAGAAAGCTATAATACCTTTCTTTGCTTATAACTAAAACAAAAGTCCTTCTCAACAGGCATATATCCAAAGACAGCAGAACCAATGGAACACATGGTTGTGTTTTTTGTTTGTTTGTTTTTCTTTTTTTGTGGAACCGGAGATTGAACTCAGGCCCTTCTACTGAGCTATCTGCCCAGCTCCGGAACACACGGTTTATCTGTAAGATTTCTATGTCCATTTTCAAATGGAGGTAGGGAGCTATTTCTGAAAAGTTACTGCCATTTGTCAAAAGTATACTGTGTTTTCATGGACGAAAAGATTTCAAGATTCACCATATATGAGTTGTTTGTAAGATAATAGGATGCTTGTATCGAACATTTCAATATGAAGAATGCTAAGTTCTTTTCAAAAGGTGGCAGAAACACCTCAACTCTTTAGTTGTCTCATAGACACACTGAGACCAGTGCTCTGTTCTTTGGTTCATTGGCACTGATAATGCATTTGGAATTCAAAGGTATGGGGTGGTCCAAAACTCTAATTAAAACAGGATGAGTGGGGGGCAGGGCAATTGGAAGATGTTTATTAAAATCTTATTTATCCTCCAAGGTAAAACTTAAAATTTTCTCTCCCTGGTGAAACTGTCTCAAATTTGGACTCTATTGACTAAAGGGCTACAATTTCTGTCCCCAAACTCTGAAAGTGCTTACATCACTACCATTTAGCTGGTCCACACTTGTGATCTACTGTCTTATAATACCTTTCTCTTTCTCTCACACACAAATACACACATAACTCTTTAAAAGATGACATTTTGGGGCCAGGGAGATGGCTCAGTAGAATAAATGCTTCCCTGGCAAGTGCAAGGGTCTGAGTTCAATCCCTGGTTCCACCAAAAAAAAAAAAATGACATCTTCTGCAGCACTTACTACAATGCTTTGTAAACAGCAGACTGAAAAAAAAATGCTATCATTCTTTTTTTTTTTTCCGGTATCGGGGATTGAACTCAAGACCCTGCGCTTGCCAGGCAGGCACTTATTCTACTGAGCTATCTTCCCAGCTCATAAATGCTATCATTCATCTGGCAGGTCTGGCAACTCTAAGTTCCTGCATTTGCACAGACAGCTGGTCACAAATGTGCATTTGAGTCTCATTAGGTAAGTGCTTATCTAACAATTATTTACATACCACTAGATAAGTTAATTTGAAAACTTGAAGGTAGCAGTATTTGCTTATTAGCAAAAATGTCAACTCCTGATTGGATGTTCCTAATTGTAAATGGGATGATAAGGATAGCCATGTCTGAGACCCTTCTCTACACCAGGCACATTACATCCATTGTTATATTATGTTGACAGTAACATTATGCTGTCACAATTCCCTTTTAGACACAGGGAATATCAAATACAGAGAAGTTAAATATAACCAATGAGTGCCAAAGTTAATGTGACTGCAACCCTGTCCTTCATTATGTCATGGTTCCTCAAATGTACCTTAATGAACAAAAAGTGGACTCTGGGCCTTTCCTGATTGATATGTATGTCATGCATTTTCTTAAAGTTAAAAAGAAATCAAAGTCTACAAAATGTTTTAAATTTGTCTTTATATCAAGAAAAAGTTTCCAGTATTTTGTGTTTATTAATAATAACTGCTATGGGTTAAGTGTCATGTAGATTGGTTAACATGTCTTTTTTATATAATTCTAAAGAAAACTCCAGGAGTATTTTACCACACACATCTTACAGAGAAAAAAACAAGCACAGTGAATGAACTTTTCAGGATATATGAGTGACACAAATAGCAGAAGCAGAGTTTAAATTTGTGCCTGACTCAAAAGCACCCACATTGTCTTAATCACCAAACCTCTTGTTCATACATTCCCAACTGTCCTCTACTTTAGGTCTGGCAGCAGAAACATGAAGCGATCACGCACTTTTTATCTATCACCCCCATGAGCTGCCAATTTCTGAAGATAGGAGATAGTTATACAGGGTTCATTATATTAGTCTATCTATTTTCTGCCTCTGGAATTCTCTATAATACAAAGTTAAGCATAAATTATAGTCAAAGCAAGGCAGCAGTTTCACCAATTCTTTTTTCCTTTCTAAAGCTGAGTCATCAATAAAATCTAAAATCTGGGTGCTTTTCTTGAAGCAGTAATCTATGCTATATTCAGATCGTTTTGTATTTCCAATTAAAAATAAAATCAATAGGATTTTATTTAGAAGGGATTATCATGCAACAGGTAGTTGCTACACAAAGCTCACAGAGCTACTTCAAAGAAAATGATGTCTAAGCTTAAAAGAATTTTTTTTCATGCTCTACAGGTACCTACAAAGTACCCAATCACCGTAAGTGGATTCCCAATTTGGACTACAATGGAATATTATCCCCAATCAGAGGATTCAATTCAGATTTCAAGTGGGGAAATGAGAGAGATTTGATTTATATTAATATGATTTTTAGGCAAAGATAGCTTTGCAATTTCCTAAGTGTTTAATGTAATTAAAACTTTCCTGATACTGACTAAACTGAACAAGGTAGGCAATGTTGGAAAGAATATGCCTGATTCTCAAAAATCTCTTCGTCAAAAAATTCCACTGGTTCCCTGTTAGCAGAATAAAGTTCAAACATCTAGACATAGTGTTCAAGGTCTAAACCCCATTCTATATGTACACAAACCTCTGTAAACTCACCAGAAACCTCATGCTTCAGCCAAAGATCTCTATTTACTGCCTCCTGAGTCAGTCCCTGATGCGACTTCAAGCCTTTATTACCTCATGTTCTTCTCCCTTCAAAACTGCCTTCCCCTTTCCTCTCTGCCTATACAGTACTATGGTCTAGGGAGGGCAGTGGCTCCTCACCTTTTTCTTCCTTCAATCTAACAAGCTTGTAAAAATCAGATGAAAGCTATAGATCTGCCTTTCATATAATCACACATATGATCCAATGTAATTTCAGGGAATTCACAAGTCCCCTTTGAAGTGAGAAGCCTCAATTAAAACTGCTCTCTGAGAAAAGAGCTACAGTCATGCTGACCGCAAGAGGCCTGGCACATATGTATCTTCACTTCTCTAAGCCTGTGACCTCTGAGAAAGACTAGCCTGAGTTTAGAGAGGACAGGCTCTGTGCGAAAAGGAGAGGTTAGGTAAGCCTTGCACAATGACAGGATTTACATACACGGAGCTTTACAAGGGCATTTCAGGAGGATCAGATGATAGTAGAATAAAAAGTACACTGACCTTGTTCAGAAGCCAGTTAATGTGTGAGTTTTCTCATTACCCACAAGCATATACAGCACTTACAGCACTATGTTATAATTAACTGTTGCTGTCTCTATTTTTCCCCTTGGATGATACACACTAAGCACTTAGCATAGTGCTACATTCATAAACTATATGCAGAAAATGCTTGTCAAATACAAGAATGTTGAAATGAGAAATGATAGATTGGATGATAAGCTTGTGAAATCACGAGATTTTTAGAAGGTATGTTTTGAAATGTTTGGTCGCAGTCCCCTTTAGGACCTCAATCCTCAATTTCTACAATAAATAAAACCAATCTGCCTTAAAATACTACATAGCCAACACTTTCCTCCAACTCATATTTATCTCATTAGAGTACATTGCATTAAAGTATGGAAAATAGCTAACTTTAAATGTTTGACAAAACACAAGAAAAAAAGGAACATGGAAAAATTGTAAAACTTTTGGCCAGGGTGCCGTTTTTATTTCTATTTTGACAAAAACTCCCAAAGTCAAAAATCTTGCATTCGCTATTTTACAACAAGCAAAATACCATGGTAGTAAGAGAATCTAAAAGAAAAGAAATGGCCTAGACAGCCAGTGTCCCCATGTTTGCATCAACACACCAACAACTTACCGTGGGGATCGCTGTGGTGCAGCTGACTCTTCGGAGCCGTCTCTGCATCAGGTCATGTTCCATACCATTGACTTCAGCCTTCAAGCGCTCTAGCTCCTCTTTCTCAAGTTTCAATTGCTTTGCTAACCTCTCCATCCTTGCTCGTTGATGTAACAGCAAGGCTACAGCATTACAGATAAAGTCATTGCAGAGAAGAATAACACTGAGCAAATAACCAGAAAATTTCTATATGCATTGTTAATGTATTAAAGACTCATCAAACTTCAGAGCTGGCATTACTCTAATGTCTTTCTAATGCTGTTCTGCCTCCATATTTGCTTTTATTTAGCTCTTAATTGCTACCAAAGGTGACATTACGTGTATACACTTCTGTCATCTTGAGTTTCTCTAAGAACATTCCTTAGTTTCCTTACAGTTCTCTTTAACTATACTTTCATGTCTTAAAAGGCTCAATATCATTACAATCACTTTCCTTTATGCTGAAGGAATACTGACTTCACAGATATCTTGAAACAACCTGAGCAGACTTTTAAACATTTCTATTCACCTTTATATTTTATTAGGTCTACTATTAGTTAATCCAATAACAGTCTTCACTTCTACTTCCACTTCTTTGGCGGTGAAGGTGGTGTTTGAGATATCCAAGTAGGGCTGAGCTTCATACCCAGTCCTGTTTATTTTGAGAAAGGGTTGGCCACGCCAAGTTGCCCAGGCTGGCCTTGAACGTGAGTTCCTCCTGCCTCAGCCTCCCAAGTGGCTGAAATGACAGGCACGCACCAGTGCACCCAGCTACGAATTCCACTTCCTGATATTTATGCCTTTCATATCATTCTCATTAGAAGATTCGAATTCTAATCCACTCTGTATGAACCTTTTTTCTACTCTGTGGTGTGTAATTTCAGCAATGTCCATTCTCTTGTCTATATTTTTCCCAGTGTTCCCCCTAAAAAAAGTTACTAGGTCACAGGCATGCCTATACTTTCACAATTTAAAGTTGCAGATGACTCTGAAGCACTTACTCTTAACAGTGATGGTACTACCTACCATTCAGTAAGTACTAAACAGGTAATATAAAATGCTTTGTTTTGAAAGCAGATGGCATTTCCCTACAAAGATTAAACTTCATAAAGGGGTTACAATTTACCTTGCGTATAGGCATAGTCATCTGATCCAGAACTAGAACTCCTCTGGTATTTATGGCTTCCTTTTTCTCCTCCAGAGCCTGGTATCACTGAAATGGGCTGAATAGGTTCTGGTGCCGCAGAACGTTCTTCTTGGTCCACTAAATTTAAAAGATTTTCAGTCGTTGCTCGGCCTACAGTAATTTTAAACACTGTAGTTGGGTTTGGTATCACCCGAGGAGATGGCGATGGAGCACATGAAGGTCCAGTTGGCTGTGTATATGTGATATACACAGGGTTAACACTAAATGGAGGTTTTGGTTGACTAGATATCCCTCTTGAAGGGGAACTTGAAGGTGGCGTGGTGGCTGTGTACAGTGAGTGCTGATTCCGTGGAGACGGTTGATTACTGATGGGTGAAGGACTCCTAGTAATTGCTGTCCCAGGTCTTTGAGAAGGTTCAACTGTAATTTCTATCTTCTTCATGGAACCTTTGGGTAAATTAGATGCTGTGTATGGGAGATATGCTACTGAGTGACTTCCTTGTTTTTGATAGCTAGGAGGTCCTTGCTGATACAGATGGGGTGGAGTAGTTGAAGGACTAGGTGGCATAAACACGTGGGAACTTGGGTGGCCCAACTGGGAAGGTTGCACTTGATGCTGTGGAGAGCTGAAGGGAGAAGGACACTGAGAAGGAGGTGGTGAATGGTAAGCTGACTGAGGGATCTGCTGCTGCTTAGGAGAATACTGTGAAGGCTGATAGTTCTGTTGGTGTGGATAAACAGGTAAAGGACGTTGGCTATAATGAGGCACTGGGCCCTGTGGTGAGGACTGCCATGGCGCGCTCTGAGGAGTCTGTCTTCCTGATGAACTCTGAGATGTTTGTCTAATATAAATAGAACCAGGAGACCCATACACATTGCTTGGAATTTGCGGAAGAATCTGCAAAGCTCTTGGTACAGTCTGTCCAGAAGGGAGGTTTTGGGATACTGTAACAGTAATTGGATTTGTACTATACCGAGGTATGTGCATGTATGAAGGAGGTGGCGGCGGTGGTGGTGAAGGCCCTTGCATAGCAGATGGATTTATTCCTGTTTGCATGGAGGATGGCTGCTGAGGTGGCTGTGAAGGTGGAGTAGCTGCACTTCGGTTCTGTTCATTCATAAAAAATGGATTGTAGTTGGGTGTAGCAGCCACAACAGCTGGAGCTGAGTGTGGTTCCTGAACTAAACATATCAGCTGTTTACCTGCTGTATGCTGTGGATCAATATGTCCATCACTTGAGCTATGTACCAGTGTTCGACCACCATTAAGTTGAGCTCCATCTCCTGGGTGGTAGCTACTAGGAGAATGGATACCCAGGTTAATATGCAAAAGGCGATTTCTGTTCATCCTGTTGTCATCTGGGCTATGGTATTCCATATATAAGTACTTGCTGCTCTCCTGGGAGAGGGCTCGACAACAGGCTTCAAGATTGTTGTTATTCTAGGGGAGAAAATGGCAAAAGTATCACTAGCAAAATTAACCAATAATAAAAATGGAAGTTAGGCTTTGCCACGGTGCTATGTGAACACTACAGTCATAGTATAAGTAGAGCGGTATTTTTAACCACAGAAAAACTTCACAGTCATCTATCCTGAAAAAGGGATCACAAGCCACTCACATTATTTTATAAACATTTAGCTCATTACTAGTACTACCACTACTGCTACTGCTACAGAAATGTAAAGTACCTACTAATGAACATTGTGACTCAACCCCAAGTTTTCTGACTCCAAATCCAGGACTCATTTTATACTTGTTGCATCTCAACAAATTAAAATGTTGGGCTAATCTTGGATTCACCACAATTGCTGCAATATATAAGTAACATCCATCATTAATTCGTATATTGATAAACATGAAAATTACCATGTTTTAGTTTTCAATAAAACACTGAAACCACCAAAGAAGAAAATTCTTGAAGGGTTAAAATGATAAAAATTCTAAAGTAGCCTTACTTTTGGTTTACCCAAGTTTTCTCTAAGTAACTTCAACTTGTACTATTACAAAAGATGTAAGCAAAGAAATCATTAAAAAACAGCTGTACATTTTGTACTATGACAGAATAATTTTGCCAGTGTTTATGGTAATTAACTGGTCTTCACTGTTTTAAAGAAATTCATTCTGACTCCAACAGTCTCAAAAGTTTTACCTGAAAGATAAATTACTGCACTTTCAAAATCATTGAAAGATTTGAATTTTTTAATTTACACACACAAAGACAGTAATAGCAAACTGACATTTCACAAGTTCCTTGACAGTAATCAAAGTAACAAATGGTTCTCTTTAAAATGTTAAGGTATTATAAAGCAGTATTTCATTAAATTATACAATTTTGAACTATTTCATTAGTGTAAAACAGAGCTTACTCACTGCCTTTGAAATAATCCATAAAAATTTCTCAACTATCGTATTCCTAGTTATGTAGATAATAAGCACATATAACAGATAGGCACATATATGTTATTATATGTTTATTTTAGGGAGAATAGATTTTATGTAAAAATGAAAGGAAACATTTCACTTCTGCTCAACTATATAAGGTAAAGCCTAAAACAGGAGATACAGTGCTATTAATTTCAGTCAGAAGAACTATTAGGGTTCAGCTACTCTAACTAGCTTCTACTATCAAGGTACAAGATGCTTGAGGAAGAGCTGCATGGCTCAACAACCAGTTAACTGCAGAGCCCTCTCGTCCCAATACTGTTTCCACACAGTAATTTCAAGGGACAGGAATGTCTGACCAAAAAGATATTACTAAACTGGAGCTTTAGGAAGTAAAAATCAATACAGTCAAGCAAAACCTTGCAAAATGAACTCTTAGAAATATAAAGAATTTGCAGTAATTTTTATTTATCTTAAACCTTTTAATATTAAAATACTTTTAGTAAACCGGGTACCTTATGGATAAGGCACAGGCCTCCTAAAACACTTTATAAAAAGGAGTATTAGTTAAAGCAGAAGAGGAGAACAACTAGAATGCACAGGTTTGACTTTCTTATTCTGACTGAAAATTGTGCTGAGCAAGGGAGAGATTAAAAGCAAATTTAAAAGAACTCAGATTGATTATTAACTAGAATATGTTACTGGTAGCTATTTAAAGGAAAAAAATGAAAAATGAAGGTATCTCCAAGTTGTTAAACCTATGGGTTAGGAGAGAAGACCTTTTACTGTTTGATATCTGTATTGCTAACCTTGACATTTCATATTTTCTTCACAAAACTTAGGGAGCCTAGATAGTATGGTCACAAAAGGATCTAAATTGTAAATGATAAAAAAGTTGATTTGTCAACCTATTCAAGTGGATGTCTAGGGCTGGGGAGATAGCTCAGTAGAATAAGCACTTGCTTGGCAAGTGCAAGGACCTAAGTTCAATCCCTGGTTCCACCAAAGAATAAAAAAATAAAAATAAATCATATGGATGTCTACAGTGACAAGCTGAGTACATTTTCTATAAAGAAAATTTGAAAATAACAAAGATATCGAAGTATTACCTTTCTGGAAGTCTTATAAAAAGAATGCCACCAGAATAGAATCAAATGTCATATCTAACTTGATAAATGTCATCAAAAAGCAAACAAGTGGATTTAAAAAAAATCCAAGAATAAATGGCTAAAGGATCCAAAATTTTTTAGGTGGACAAAGAGGTCAGAATTTTTTTATAAAGACATATATGAACATTCCTATAAGGAGAGAGGAGATAAAAGCATCATACTCCTAAAAAAGTGGTCTTAAGGGATGATAGCACATAGAAAGGCCTTAAGGCCTATTGTAAAAACAAACTACTAAACCTATACTTTAATGTGAATAAAGAAGCTATCCAGAGCCAACAGGTGGTAAACCTTTATACCAATACTAATCTCAGAGGAAGAAAACAGTGAAAGGCAGAACAACGTAAGTATCAACAAATATTCACAGGGCTCAATTAAAGTTCCATTTCTTCAGTTTAATTAAGCGGCCATGAAAAAAAGCAGGTAATCAAAAGGCAAATATAAGGTCAGAGGTAGGTGGAGCCCTAGGAAAAGTGAGGAAAGTGCTTGCTAGGAATTGCTTTCAACCGGGAGACTCACACCTGCTTGCTTTCACTCTAGTGAGTAACAGCTGTGTTTCTCCAGAGACCAAAATGAGGCTAAATAAGAATGGAGATTCAGACTATTAAAAGTGTAAGCTATAACAAATGCCACTAGGCCCAGTAGAGGGTTTGCAAACAAAGGGAGTACCTCTGTCACCATTACTGTTCTGTGAGTCTATTTGTGACTAACCTTTCCAACATGTAGGTTTAGGTTATAGGCTCTGCTACTCACACTTCAGTAAGTTACTGTGAACATGAATGCTGATTGCATGCTCCCTGCAGTCAAACCATGCAAGAAGGGCAGCACCCAAAACATACTAAGAGCCAGTGAAGGGTGATACAAAACCTAGCAGGGAGAGCTGGGCCTGTCTTGGTTGCTCCTTGAACAGGAAGACACATTCTATCTCACAGGTCAGAGATATCTTTCATGATCATGGTATCTCCCCTTCCAGGCAAGTATGCAGAGAAATCCTTCAGTGTGAACAAGACAAAGGAAATATTTTTTTTTTGGTGGAACCGGGGACTGAACTCAGGCCCTTGCACTTGCCAGGGAAGCGCTTATTCCACTGAACCATCTCCCTGGCCCCAAAGGAAATATTTTCAATTATAAAAAAATAGGTTCATACTTTAATTATTAGTAAGGATTTAAGCAACTAAGCAATAGTAAAAATGACAGTAAATTATCTATAGACTTTTAAAATAGGCTCAAAACTATAGCTCCTGAGGAAGTTAGCATGATAGTATTTAGATTCAAACTTGAACTCGCAGGGCTGGGGATACAGGTCAGTGGTAAAGCTCTTGCCTAGTGTCAGGAGGCCCTGGGTTCAAGCCTCAGCAGTCCAAAGATAAAAAAAAAAAACCAAAAAAAAAAAAACCAAAAAAAAAATTTCAACTGTAAGGATTTGGAGGCTGACAACATTCCCCCCAAAACCCTCAACTCAGAAAGTGGTATACAAAGAAAATATTTTGTTTTTGCCACATGCCAGTGTCTTTTCTAAATGTGAGTGATTCTCGACAGGGAGAGGTTTCTGCCTCATACAGGACATGTGGCAACAATTTGCTTTTGGATGGGGGAATGTCATAATGATGGAGATATTCCAGGTATACAATGGCTAAAGACCAGAAAAACGACCAAACATCCTAGCATGCACAAGGTGGGCCCCAACTACGATGACTTATTTGGCCCCAAACGTCAACAATACCAAGGCTGTATTGATACAGTAAATGCAGCCTGCACATTTGAAAATGTAATTGAGTTTTGATCACAACACAAAGCCAAATTTAAGAAAACCGCAATATCTCCATCAGTGATAGGAAATTTACCTGTAACATGCACTGAGACACCACACCCTCTGGAATTTCAGGGAAACGTTGTCGGAGATCATGGAGAACCTGAATATCAAGCTGCGGGCTGCTTTGCGCCATGCCAGAGCAAATGGTGGTCAAGTTTCTCTTAGGAAGTGGATGTTAACTGGCCTTCCAAAAGTAATGATCTTCCAATACCACAGTCATTTCTACTTAAAAAAAAAAGGTATAGTTAAAGCTAATTACATATTTTACTTTATTTGTGCAGCCATTACCAATATATTAAAATCAAGAAACTTTATACCTAATTACAAGGTTAAAGTGACAAATTCAACTTGACCAAAGATTCTTCTGACATAATATATAATGAGTGGCTTCAAAACAAAGCCCAAACTTTTCAGTTTCATTCTAATGCCAGAAAAAAAATTAGCAGATTCAAAGTAGAAAGCGTTATTATTGAGCAACCACATTATTCTAGCTTTGAGAACTCCTAGTTATGCGTAACTATTCATGTTTTTTTCTAGGGCAGTGGTGGCAAACCTATGGCACATGTGCCACAGCAGGCACACTAAGTCTTCTGTGTTGGTATGCAAACCAAGTTATCCCAGCAGCTGAGCGATGGATAACAGCTGTTTTTTCTAAACTAAAACCTCAGTCTTCAGGTGTAACTGCAGTGGTGGTACTTCGCAATAATGAAGTGGGTTTAGGGCTGCAGTTTGGGCAATTGGTCTCTGAAAGGTTCGCCATCACTGCCCTATGGCTAATACATCACTCCTCTAAAGCATAGTAATCACTCTGATGTCAGAAATAATGAAATGAACTAAGGACTTGACAGTAACACCACAAAGTCTACTCATCCTATTTGCGTTACATTCTCCCTATACTTTGAAGCCAAAGCTTTGAATTTGAAATCTAAAGATAACACACTGTCTAAATGAAACAACAAGGGAAACAAAAGCAGCAATGTACAATCTTAGTTTCAAAAATAACGCTGGGGGCTCATGGCAACCTGTCTAGTTATGCTTTCACCTAGCTCTTGTGCCACAGGCACAAGTACTAAGACGGC